AAAGTAAAAGACCCAATGCCAATCTGAAAAGAAACAGATTCCATGCCAATCTGAAAAAGAAACAGATTCAAGGCCAATCTGGAAAAAGGTTACAAGATGTACCTTAAATCCATCCCTGATTAATTCTTCATTAATACAACAAAGACGATCATAACTGCCACGGTCTGAGGTGCATCTCTCTTCTCGGTACTTTGGACCCATCTTGGGAGCATTGTTGGACCTTGTGGCCGTATTGAAAGAGCACGCCCGCAGACTAGGCGCCCACCTCGCTCACAGCAAAAGAGGGCTTCGGCGTAGACGCTGATGAGTTGTCCATCCGAGCCAATGACTCTCGTTCTGTCTTCTCGCGTTCACGTTGAGCTTTCTCGGATTTTGTAATCCGTGGTTTTCGGGTAATGGAGCCACCCCTAGAGCCTGGGCCACCGCCACGCCCAGTACCCGAACCTCCCCGAGTAGAGGTTCCGCCGCGTCCACCACGACTGCCTCTACCACCCCCGCGCCCACGTTTAGGAGGCCCATCCTGACTAGAAGTTTGTTAGCAAGGAACGAAACGGTAGTCGAACCGTAACAGAGAAGAGCCACATACCTAGCAGTTGATTTCGGTACCTCTGGGACCAGAGGGCCGGAGTAAACAAAGAAGCCATCACGACTTGCGGCAGCCTGTGCTTCCCATAACAATTCCGAATCATCAACAAAGTCGTCATCGATATCATAGTGATCTTCTTTGAAATTGCGCTTCTTCTTTGGCTTCGCCTGAGCATCGATGCCACTAGTTCCGCCGTTTTCTGGGTTGCTTCCTTCAACGTCTGAAAGGTCGACTGACATCTCGTCTCCAGACTCTCTGCCCGATTCTATTTTCTCAAGGGAGGCTGTTGCGGCTGCAATTCGCGCTTTGCGATCACGGTTGGCGGCAAGGCGAGGGTGAAGTGCATCCCAGCCGTACCTGTCTTCTGCAAGACGCATGAAATTCACGTACTTGTTTGTTTCGCCCGTTTTAATAGGAATATTAAGAACAATCGTGGGCGCCTGGGCCTCTTCTCCTGGCTTCGCTCTTCCGAAATCGAGAATCGATCTCCCCTCGCCCTCCTGCGTGATGTCGTCCAAATTATCAGTCTTTGGGGTTGAAGTACCTGTCTGGGTTTTTTCCTTGGGTGTGAGCTTCTTCACTGGGCCGTTTGCAATGGTAGCAAAGTTAGATTCTTTGATGACCGGTTGTGCCACTGCTGGAGGGGCGGGTTGCTGGTCTTTCTTCGATTCCTGGGCAGTGGGGCGCGAGGTAGAGAGCAGATCGGACACTACTCTAGCAGGCTTTGAGGGAGACCCAGATGCTGATGCGCCATCGTTCGCCTGAAGTTTCGGCGGCATCGTGAGTGACGGTATTTGACCATTTTGCGAAGGGATTGGCGACCGCAATGGAGGCGCTTGCGGCTCAATCAGACTTGCAATTGATGGCGACCGATGAGCGGTTTGGGTAGTTTGTGCTCTGGGAGATCCAGAAGTGGATGGGAAGAGATTGTTTGACACTACAGTCTCACGAACCGGGTCATATTTCCCATCACGGATGGGGTCATACGACTGGCCGATACTGCGAACTGGCATCGAATTGCTACTTCCGGAGGCCTGGGCAGGTGGTTCGGCATTCAGGATATTTTGCATTGAGCCTGGAAAGCTTTCACGCTTTGGCACGCTGGGGGAATAGCGCGGCTCCGATGCTTGAGGCGCAGACTTCGAGTTGAGGCCTGGTGAGGGATGCGGAGACTCAGCATGATGGTCTCCAAGAGCCAATACCTTGGGAGATCGTCCAGCGGATTCGGCAGATTGAGCATCAGCAGGCGCAATCTTCCTCTTCCTTTGGACAGGCAGAGCATTAGGGTCACGGGGCTTTCTTGGCTTCCGGACCTTGGCTTGCTCTGGCTGCCCAGGCTGTTGCTGGTCAGATCCATCTGGGGTTTTGGTCTTGCCACCTGCACCTGGCTTACGACCTGGCTTCTTTCGCGGTAAGCCAGCGGCAGTCAGCTGAACCCAGAGACCATCCACGAGGCCAAAGCGTTTTGGTGGCGCATTTCCCTCTCCAGGGACTGTCTGGATTTGCTCATACTGGGGAGCAGATTGGCGTTGCCCACGGTTTTCATTCTTCACATTAACCTCGACCGGGGCGTTACGTGGGAGACCAGGCTGGCGGGATGGTGATCCCCCAGCCTCGGATGAGAAGCCTGATGGGGGTGACGAAAGGTCGCCTGCCGAGGACTCATAGCGCGCCGTAGCATCCATACCGGCGGCCATCCGTGGTCCTTGGGGGTTCTCGGTGTGTAAACACGTATGAGGACAAAGGAAATATTAGGCGGGGATAAAACAAATGAAAGAAAGGACAGAAATGAGAGAGCCGGGTGCGATGTACGTGAAGGGCTCAGTCTCTCATTCCTCTAGCGAAGAGGCCGTGTAGGTGTAGGGAGGAGTGTGCCCAAGGTGCAGTACGTATCAATTGCTGCTGGCAACCATCGACAATGAGCAGGGCGACTCGATTTCAAAGAAAAGTATAAATAAATATACTTATTCTTCCACAGTGCTGCAACGAGTGAAGAGTCGCACTGAAAATGGCAAATGCCTCCAATCGCCAAAATACTCAGGGTACACGGGATGGAGTGCAGGTCCTTGGCACGTATTGGTGGAAGTGACGCGATGCGGAAGATGGGGCGAGATTTTCGCAGGTGGGAGAGTGGGGCGTGGGAGCTGCGAATAGCCTCACAAACCACCAGGTCGGTCAGGCGTGGAGGGGACAGGACCACCAGGTCTTGGGGTTTGACGCGCTCTAGGGGATGGAGATGAGGGGTATAGGCCTGCTAAAAAGGTGCAAAGAGTGCACCGGTCGCAGATGCACAAAATGCAGCTAAATTTAAGATGCCGCGCGCCCGTAATAATGAGGGATTGATGGAAGTTGGGGAGAAAGTTGGTTGAATCGGCGGGTTTTGGTGTTGAGAAATGGTGGAAAGAAGGAAGTTTGGGAAAGGGGGCGGGAAAATGGGAATGGGGGATGGGAATGACTTCGGTTTTTTTTTTTGGAGGGGGCGACAACAACTACGAACATTGAGGAATACATTTCCTATTTCCCAGACTGTAGGGAAGACGAGAAAAAACGGGGCACGTAAACGGACAGGCAGGAGCAAAGTAGGTACAGGCAGGAGCGAGCCGGTGTCAGGAAAAGAGCAATTGGGAACCAAGTCGGCAGATGCAGGTCACAAGCCGGGGGAATGAGTCGAGAGTCAAGACACCAAGCTTCATTGCGAAGAGCCCCGTGGTCAAAGGTGGGAAAGCTTCAGCCAACCAATGCCAGCTCGGGGTGAGCATTGACAGCAGGGGTGTGGGCTGAATACGTCTGCGGCTAGGACGCAAGCTCGCAATCAGAGGACCACCAGCAGCCCCCAGAGTGATACGGCATGACCGCCTAGGGCTAGTGTGAGACTTCCGAAGCCAAGCAAAATTGAGACGAGGATTCACAAACTGGTACGTTTCCAGAAAGGGAGAGGTTTATCTTAGACGACCAGATATGCAGCAAAGTGGGTCTGGCCAGGAACAAGCAATGGCAATTGTGTTTCTCCACACTTATGGGAAGCAGGGGCTAATCGGAGATGCACTGCGACTGGCCCGCAGACGCGCTACGACGCGGCTATGTGGCCCGATAAGCGCGGTCAATTGTGCATGCAAAACGTCTTACTTCGCGACAAGGATTGTGAGCCCTACCAAACGCGCTTTCCAAGAGAACGTCGGATAATGTCTTCAAGCGGCGCGGGCAAAAACCTCGTTATTGCCGTCTTAGTGACCGTTTTTCCATCAGCGTGGTTTTTTTTCTCGCCTTCGCTTCGCTCTGTCACCGCCCGCAAATGTGACTGGTAACACGCGCTCGGGCTTACGGAGCATGAATTATAGGCCTCATCTGCTGAGAAAATTATGCTATCGTTGCATAACTGGTATGGGCCCTCCAAATCGCGTCCCTTGAAATATCGCACTACAGGTAGTAACGTAGCTCCCAACCTTCTGTGCCAGCGTATGTACAATGACCCTGGTTCTCGAAGCCTGTAACTCGAGAGCACAAAGATCGACGCTAATGCGGCTCCACATCTGTAGTGGTACCTACATAACTCCTTTCATTGCCGCCTCATAAATGAAATTGCCCTCAATTTTCCATGAAGAGTCAATAAGCATTCGGATAGGCTGAGTACATGAAAATGCACCTACTGATTCCATGTGAAGCATCTCATTCCGCTGGGCGAGTATATAGAGTTGATTATGTAATCAAAGCTTCAACCTCAAATAGGCATTTGCCGCCAACACGCCACATGTACCACAAGTACCAATGTCGCAGAAATGAAACAAAAGAGTGCAAGTTTCAACCCAGGGGTTTCTGTGCTTGCGGGCTACCACATGTATCATGCTCTACCAAAATATGTACGTAGCACAGAAGGCCCCTGTATGTCAGCTGCTTTGCAACCTTGAGATGAGGTAAGTATCTGCTTCCATACGTAGTGGGTAATCCGAGCTAATGTGCCACCCGTAAGACACACGAGAAATTCATTGGAAGAGTGGTGCTGAACGGATTATTTCGTTTTCTACGGTAAATAACAAGATTCAGAAGGATAAAACGAAATAAGTGACAATATAGACTGTATTGTTTCTCAAGTATGTATTATTTGCAATCAATAATCTGATGCTACCCGCCGCAGATGTAGCTCAATATTTGAGTGTCTCAATTTCGATGTAACCCTTCTATCCCAAAAAGTATATCCTGAATGCTGACAAGGACATGGGTCCCTAAGAAGTACTACCAGTAGTGCAGCCAGTTAAGGCAGGGAGATGCGCTCCTAGCTCCCTTTAGTCATGACCTCGAAGTACCTTCTAGCGGGGCTTGCTCTCCACTTTCTTTTTTTTTTAATCCCATCAAGTTTAAACCAACTCTCCGCTTCATCATCTACCTTCATTACCTGCCTACTTACACAACAGGCGAAATGGAGTCGGGGCCGCTCATAGGCGATATTGTGGAGAGGAAGGCAGGCGCGGAGGCAAATGTTGAGTTCACCGACAACACGATCTCATCAACCGGGTTTCCCCAACATAAACGCCGATGGAAATCCTCGGCCTTTAAACAAAGTCGCTCGCAAAATGCAAACGAAAGCGATGTGTCTCCAGCGACAGGAAAGTCTCGAATCGATGGGTCAGATGGCGGCGCAAAGGAGAGCGGCCATACCGTGAGCTTCGAAGAGGTTGAACGAAAGCGCATTGACCACGAAAACCGTCAAAAAATTGACGACATGACACCGGAGGAGATTGCACAAGCTCAAAGAGACATTTTGAATGGGTTGAATCCCGCATTAATACAACGTCTCCTTCAGCGGTCGACGATTGATGATCCTGAACCCAATATTTTCGATTTGACTCAAAATTCGTCAACAACGCCGCCTCCCGAGATCACCGTATCAGCCCCCGACCAGCCAGCCAAGGCTCCCTCCCCTTCAACCGAAACCCCGACCGAAAACCGGCCACCCTTGAAAAAAAAGAACATCGCGGACGATTATGATGAGGACGCTGAACCTCCTCAACTCCCAGATTTGTTTCCTATCACAGATCCTCCGAAATCAACACACTTTCCAGCACCCCCACAAGTCCCAGACCTCGACCCAGATGACCCCAACTTCCTCCAGAATCTACGCGAAAAATACTTTCCAGAGCTGCCCGCTGATCCTAGCAAGCTAGCATGGATGGCACCGGTGCCAACACCGAATAGCGTTGCGGACAAAGAATCCCCATATTACCCCCATCCAGAAATCGCCGTATCTGCTCTGAGATTCGATTTCCGTGGTCGCTTCCTCTCGCCGCGGGTCAGCCGAACGATTCCCTCCTCCGTGGGACTTCATCATCATGGTGAGGCCCCAGAGGCTGCTGGTTATACCATCGATGAACTCTCACGACTGGCTAGAAGCGCAGTGCCGTCTCAGCGCTGCATAGCATTTCAGACGTTGGGGAGAATTCTTTTCCGACTGGGGAATGGCGAATGGGGTAAGACTGTAGACGACCCCATCGCTATGGGAGTGTGGAGCTCAGTGAAGAAGGGAAGAGCCATCGAGTCCTTAACCGAAGCTGCCACCGTCGAGGGCGGCCATCGAGGAAGCCGAGCATACGCTACCGAGGCTTTGTGGCTATTTGAAAAAGGCGGCTGGAAAGACAAATTCAAAGGAAGGTGAAAGTTACATGAAGATAAGACGATCTCACAACTTGGCAAGTAGCCTAACCGCTCATGACCGTATCCAGAGCACTCGGCAGTGCTTCCTACAATGCATCACGTGTGCCGTAATGTTGTCACCACTTGTATCAACTCATACTTGTGTGTAGCTAAATCACAGGTGAAGGTGCATAGGTATACTGAGGAAATGGTGGCTATTAGCACTCAGACATATACAATGTGCCGTTCTAGTTCCGAGGCCTCGCAATTTTAGATCTCGCGAATACTGGCAAACGTATTGCGGACCTCAGGACAACCATTAGGCAGTCGTGCATGAAGTTGTTGGCAACCAAACTAAAAATGGTATGTTCAGGTTCCGGCACACCATGATTGGCTACGTATGAGACAAACCCGATCAGAAGAAACTCAAGGACATCCTCTGAACGACTGCAGTTCCCAGTACAGTGGTAGGTTCCAACTCTGCTCGTCACGAACGGGAATGTGCCCATATTGGTGGGTGAGATGGGTACAAACTACATGGAATCTCACACCACCCTCTCCAGCTCTGTGTAAGATACCTCCCAACGTACGTAGACCGAGGCGCGCCCCGTCACCCAAGTGCAAACAAGCCATGGGCAATATCTCTGAATTAAAAGCGATCATGCAGCGATGCACGGCTGTCTCGTGACACATTACCAGTAAAGGTTGGGAGCAAGCGTCTCCTGTCTCACGAGACACCAGGGGAAAAACCCGACACAGCTCAATCGCCAGTAAGCTTGGCTCTCGTGAGAATCCCGGGCTCAGCACCCAACACAATTTGCCCTGTCATTGGAGAGACTCGGTGACAATCCGTTTTTTGCACGGCTCGTTCCCAATCACATGGAAGCCACAAACCGCCTTGCTCCACCCGCTGTCCATTGCAGCCCGATAAGAGTTCAGCAGTGCAGCCCAGAACTGTGCGCAGGCACTTACAAGCCTGGCTCACAGCGGCCAAGCGGAGTCGGATGTGCATGTCCCATTGGTTACACTGCTGAACTGACACCGCCCCTCGTTTACTAGGACCGAACGGGAAAGGGAAAAAATCAAATCGATTGGGAACAAAAACAATTCGACGCCCACTCTCACGGTCCTGCTTTTTATTCCTTGTTCCTCGTCCGTCTTCTCGCCAGCGCACCGCGACAGGCATCCGCCGCGCCAATTCCTCTTCCCTCTGGGTGTTTGACCATCCCGTTCATCTTTCGGCGTTCTTTCAGAAACTAATTATCTCTTCTCCCTCGGCCGTTGCTCCGCATAGCCATCACTCTGATTCCCAGGCGACCACTTCCCCCGCTACTCTCAGTCTCTGCCTTGTCGTTCGAGTTGTCAGCCCCCTGGTTCGCTTTTTCACACCTCCGGGCCAGCACAGCAAATTACAACAAGCCTCACTGAGATTCGTGATCAAAACCCTTCGCTTTGAATCCGTTGCGACCCCGTCGGAAGCCTTCTCTCGATCGTTTCCCCAGTCCCGCCTCACCGCTCCCAGAGGGTCAACGATTGACTACCTGTGTCGATCGTCGAAGAGTAATCCCCGTCAACGTCTTCTGAATTTCGCCTTTCATCACCCACCCAAACCCCGCAAACTTCCGGGCTCTCTGTGACTTTCACTAGCCATGGCGACCCCGCTGCAGTTTGCGTACCGAACCCAAAAGACCATTGGTCTTTTCGATGCCGCGCCCGCTTACGAGTCTGTCGCTGGGTTCAACAAGCCTGAGGGGAATCTGCGATGCTGCAACTACTCTCCCTGCGGCCGGTTCTTCGGCTGGGCCTCGCCAGATGCCGTTAACGTAGTCGATTCTTCCAGTGGTCAGGAGGTCCTGAGTCTACCAATCACCAACGTCTACGAAATCGGCTTCTCGCCCCGCGGTACCTTCATCATCACCTGGGAACGACCTGCCAAAGACGAGAATGGCGACGCAACCAAGAACCTCAAGGTATGGCGCACTCTCGAGGAGGGCGTCGCTGGTGCCGACAAGCAACCACTCGGCAAGTTCGTTCAGAAGCAGCAAGGGAACTGGAATCTGCAATATACGGCCGATGAGAAGTATTGCGCTCGTCTCGTTACAAATGAAGTTCAGTTTCACGAGAGTCATGATCTCGTGACAGTCTGGAACAAGCTCAGAATCGAGGGCGCAGCAAGCTACGCACTTGCACCTGGGACGCAAAACCATGCTGTTGCCGTTTTTGTTCCGGAGCGAAAGGTTCGTTGTAAACCGAATACTTGTCTATTACCAAATGCTAATTATGTTTGATAGGGTCAACCAGCTGCGGTTAAAGTGTTCAATGTACCATTGTTCAACGCTCCCACTTCGCAGAAGACTTTTTACAAGGGAGACAAGGTTCAATTCAAGTGGAACAAGCAAGGATCAAGTCTGCTCGTACTGGCACACACGGAAGTTGACAAGACCGGAAAAAGTTACTATGGCGAAACGACCCTGTATCTCATGAGTACCAGTGGTTCCATCGACGCACGTGTGACCTTGGATAAGGAAGGCCCTATCCACGACGTCTCTTGGTCACCAAATTCCAAGGAGTTCGGTGTCGTTTACGGATACATGCCAGCCAAGGCAACCATTTTCAACCATCGTGCCATTCCTCAGCACTCTTTCCCCCTTGGTCCCCGAAACACCATCACTTTCTCGCCAAACAGCCGCTTCGTTCTGGTCGCCGGCTTTGGTAACCTTGCAGGCCAGATTGACATCTATGACCTCCAGAAGGACTATCGAAAGATATGTACCATCGAAGGAGGCAACCCGAGCGTCTGCGAATGGAGCCCCGACAGTCGATACATTATGACCGCAACTACTTCCCCACGTCTTCGTGTGGATAACGGCATTAAGCTTTGGCACGTCAGTGGAGGCATCATGTACAACGAGGACATGGTCGAGCTGTATCAGGTCGAGTGGCGTCCCTCAGCTCCAGGAAGTGTTGCCGGCGGCGATCCACTTGCACCAATTCCTCCTGCTCACTCCTCGGCGGCGGACTATCTTGGTAAGGTCAAGACACCAAGCAAGCCAGTGGGAGCCTACCGTCCTCCGGGCGCTCGTGGTGGGTCCACTCCCTTGCACTTCAAGCGAGAAGATGAAGGCGGTGCTGCTCACTTCGTCAGCAACGGTACGCAGAACGTTGGGCCCGGCGGCTTCGGCCGCGCTCGCCGCGCCGTTCCAGGAGCTGAGCCACTGGAGGCTTCGCCTCAAATCAGGTCTGTGCCAGGTGCTGAACCTATAGGTGACGGAGATGCATCAAAGAAGAACAAGAAGAAGCGAGGCAAGAAGGGCGGCCAGGGCGATGGTAAGGCCGAGGCGGAACCCAGTGGAGGCGCCAGCCTCGCTCCGCCACCCCGTGACCATGCTCCTGGCTCAAACGGTGAGGGCCGCAGCCCAGAGCGCCGTGGTAATAACGGTCGCAATCACCGGAGCCAGTCTAGGCATGACGGAAACAGAAACCGAAGCAACACTCAGCAGGGTGCTGCACGGGGCAACAACGGCACTAACCCGGCTGCACAGCAGCAAGGAGGACAGCCCGCTGCCAATGGTTCCCAGGTCTCTCAGGACCCCAACGCAAAGAAGATTCGCAGCCTGCAGAAGAAAATCAGGGCGATTGAGGATCTCGAGATGCGACTCGCCGGCGGCGAGAAGCTGGAGGATACTCAGCTAAAGAAGATCAACACGAAGGCTTCGGTTCTCAAGGAGCTCGATGCTTTCGGTGCTGAGGTTTAAACGAGACGATGAAGATACGGAGACACCTCCGTCTTGGAAACACGGTGAAAACACAGGATCTGGGTACGGTCGGGGACAAAGGGCCCTCGAAGACTATGTACCAGATCTCGAGGCTTGTGTGCCTCTGTCGCTGGATAATTGTGTTTTTGGTCTTTGGAAAATAAAAACTGCTGTTGGGGGGTATTGTTTACGGGGGATGGCCTCCCAAGTTAGTACTCGAATCAAGTTCACTTTCGAGATAGATACAGAATCCATAATAGGGGGCCCAGGAAGCAGAATATACAACATAGTTCGCTCCATAGCCTTCTGGCTATGGAGCTAAAAAGCCACTCTCATCTTTACACTTTTGTCTCCTTAATTTTTTGCTGTGACGGTTATGTACTCGCCTCTTGGTGGTATCCCTACAATGCTCGATTACCCATAGTTCGTTCACCCGTGCACTATCCTGGTAATGATCAACCTACCCTATACATCTCCTTTGGACGTCCCAACGAGCACGAACGAAAAGAATCATGTGAAAGTATCCAAGTTCTAGACATATCAGGCAGCAATTTGATGATTTTTGGGTAGTATTGGAAGTAGACTTTTACTCTTAGACATCCTAATGATACAATTCCTCCGAGGTGAGTGCTGGCGCATAAGTGTCACGAGAACACCAGACAGAGTGAGTCAGCTATACTTCTCACATGAAGTGCCACAACCACGTCAAGAGTTTTGGCAGCGGGAGGCGTCACATGGAGGCGAGGCCATGCTAATCACACAGAGATTGATAATCAGGCCCCTACACTACGTGGCAGTTTTAGAGCGAGTCGTCGAGCCTGGCCACGGCAAACATGAAACATTTGGGAGTAAGTGTCCCAGGTCACCACCTAAGCATGGGAAGTCTCTCGGGTTCTGGACTGGACTACGGGACGGGGTGCAACGCGAACCGACCAGGGCAACTTGCGAGTCGGAAAATGGGACTCGAGAAGTATCAAACTGCTCTGACCCAAGGGGGCACACACACACACTCACCGCATCCTACGAATGCTACCTTCTGCCACGTAATGGCCCTGAAGATCGGTTCTCTCGCCATAACGCAGCCCGGGGCAGGCAGCAGGAAGATTGAATCAGATGCACACCAGCCCCAGTCTAGGGATTCCACGGCCGTTCTGGACTTGGTAGGCCGCCACAGTTTGGCACCGTCCGCCGTCGATCCTCTTAGCAGTGGTGTGAGCGGGCTGGCTGCAGCATCTGTCGATTCAAGCCACACGCATTGGGGGAGGTG